TTCACTTGGTGCTCTCTATGTGTGCATGTCTGTGTCCAAATTTGCTGGAGGACACTAGTCCTACTGGATTAGGGGCCCACCCTACTCCAGGATGACCTCATCTTAACTAGTTACATCTGTAAAGAAGGCCACATTCTGAGGTACTGGGGGGTTTAACACTTCAAAATATGAACTTGGTAATGGGGATTAGGTGGGTGGCTAGAAGACACAGTTCGAACCACAACATTAGCTAAGGTAGTTTTGAATTCAAAATCAAACTCAAGAGAAGGAGCAGAATGGATTGCCCAAAAGAGTGCCTCATATTATAATTCCAAGTGATGGCGTGGACAATTAACGTATCATATTGGTGGGGTGGCGTGGGGTGTGATGTTAGTACTCAGACACCCGAAATCTTATGCTTACAAGTAAGGGGATACACATTAATTGAGGTTGCTATTTGCAGAGATACACTGGGGTCTCTACAAAACGCTAATTTGTATTCACCAGTTTTTAGGACAAAACCTACATAGGTATGTGGAAAAATTTAGTGTTGAAGGAAACCTTTAGCCAGTTACAGAGTGAAAAGGAGCATCTTGAGAACATTCAAAACACTTTAAATTCCCTGATAACTTAATCTCAAAGTGCTTCTAGTCCTAAAGTTCTGCTTAGATATGTTTGCCAAGCGGATTCTATATTAAAATTGGGTTTCCTTTTATAAGATGGAGTGGGGGGCTTCTGTTTTCCTTGTCGGTTTGGGTAGGGGGAAGACTTACAGTGTTCTAGTCATTTTCTTCGCTGGTGTCCGCCGTTAGACGGAGGAGGTATTTTGTGAAGCTGAAAACCATCCGTGAAATTAAGCACCAGACCATGTAGCAAGGACCAGCGTATAGCTCTGGGGCTGAGCTGAAGTAGTATAGCACAGGAGGTAGGAGCACAGACTATGGTGGCAGATCTCTGGTTCTGCCTTGGGCAAGTTACATGGCCTCTGTGGCCAAGGTTTCTCATCTAAAGCTGTCCTTTATAGCATTGTGGTAGGTATAAAATGAGATAGTAGATGGCAGAATGTCCACTATGGTAGCAACTGCTCAATCAATGGTACTTCTTATAATTGCACCAGAGAACTAGGGAGGGAACCTTGGAAAATTGAGCTAGTCTCCTTTTGTCTTGTTAACTTCTTGGTTGTATGAGCACTGGGAGCCCAGGACTCTAGGAGTCCTTCCTCATTACTTGATTCACTTTCATACTTCTCTTGAAGACCAACCAGTGGGTCCTGGTCTTTTTCTTCTATCACCCCTGCATCTCTGAGACTTCTGGGGAGATGTCACCATCCAGCATACACACATGACTGTGCCATCAGAGAAAGGAATTTCAGAGTCATGACTGTTCACTAGTGAAAAAGTTAGTTTGGGAGATTTACTTCCTCAGCTGTGGAAAATTTCCTTATTTTCTGTATTCTAGATGTTCTGGCATTTGGGGCCTTCCTTGATCCCAGAGAGACTGACCCTCCCAGGGTTTAGCCAATTCCTAGAAATAGCAAACAACTCCCCTGAGAGTGTGACTTTGATACACAAATCAACCAATCCAGAGCCCACACCCCAACTCTCTCCTTTGTCAGACTCTCATACATCAAGACAATATTGCCCCTAAGTCATCCCAGGCCAAGTACTAGACAACCAGAGACCATCCTATAGCTCAGAATCTGCTGAAATTATTCAAACTACCAAATCCTAAGATTGCTCAGAGTAGCTACCATGCTTCACCCAAACCTTCCCTTGAAAACCCCAATAAAGGCTTTGGGCCATGTTCTCCCTTCTTCTCCCCCTGCCTCCTGACTAACACTGCTGCTTCTCCATGAAGCCCTGAAGGGTGTGCTCTTCCTCCTGTTTCTAGGGATCTGTGAGTGTAAACTTCTTCCTTTATGACAGTCATTTTCCTGTCTGCGTGTCTTATCATACTTGATTAAAACAAATTCCAGGTACATTTGAGAACACCCAGGCATAACAATTAGCAATCTCACAGACCTGTTTCCCGACCTTTTTTCCTATTTCCATTCTCCCAGCTCCTTGACTTCAGCTATTTCAGTCCAGATGCCCACTGACCACATCCATCCAAATATCTCTTCCTGACCACACAGAAGTGGAATGGTGTGCTGGATCAGGTACCACCCCTAGCTGGGAGTCAGAAGAGAGAGACTGAGTCTCTCAGCTCTGCCAGTTATCACTGTGACATCACGGGAACACTGCTTCACCTCTGTGAGCTTCTAGAATAATAAAACCAGCTCAGGTGGGTCATATGAAATGTTTCAGAGATTCACTTCTAAGACATTAGCATAGGCAGCTGCAGTTAACCTCCCTCCCACCCTCACTCCATCATCCCAACACACTTACTCAAGGTCTCAAAGCTAAAAGTGCTAGAAGACCTATGGAGAGAACCCAGAATCCCAGACGCAGTTTACTGCTTCCCCTTACCACACCATATTTGCCTCCTCCTTGGAGCCTCCATTAAGGAGCCTAACAGATATGAGAAAACTTATCCAGTATGGAAACACTCTTCCAAATCCTAAAGATCTAGCAACCTCTTGGATAAGAAACTCCTAGTCTTTGCAAACACTCTCCATATAGAATAGTCATTGTGAGGCTAATATTTTATTGAACACTGTGTATTAAACATAGGGCTAAGCCCTTTATATGCATTATTGTATTGCATTGGTTCAGTAGTGTTATTATTCCCATGTCACTAACAGGGAATCCAAGGGTAAGAGGGATGATTTTTCCAAGGTCAACCAGCTTGTAAGTGTGGGAGCCTGAGGAGGTAGCACTAGTTGTATGGTTCCAGAGCAGGAGATCTTGACCCTTGTGCTCTCCTACTGGATGTCCCCTCCCTGCTCTTCCTTCTGCCTCTGCATCCAAAGCAGCTCCCCTCAAAGCTGACAGCTGCAAATGGTGGCGGCTCTCAGCGGCAGCTCTGGGAGGGCTGCCTCAAGCTCCATGTTGATCCCTGCTTCTAACCCTGAGGGCTCAGCCACCAGGGTCTGGAGATCACCTTCTCAACACCAACGAATACTACAGTGGCCAGTCCTGTTTCTTTTCTAAGAATACTTTCTAATTTTAAATGGAATAATTTCTCTTCAACACCCCTCCTTGAAAATGAAGCTTCTCCCAATAACTGCCAGTTCAGGACCCAGCCATGAGCCAAGAGCATCTCTTCAGTCAGATAGGCAACCCAAAGAGAATACTGGTGAGAGTCTACTGAGTAAGTACTCACACATGCCAGCCAGCCCTGTGCTATGACTATTCCATGCATTGGTTCATTTAAACTTAGACCACAGTCTATGCGCCTGATGACTTCTTGTTGCCCCTCCGTGCCCACTCTCCCCCATTCTCTACCCTGCCCTCTGCCCCAGGTTTACACATGTGGACAGTCTCCATGGGCTCCCTTGTCACTGGCTTCTGGCTGGTTTCTGCCAATGGAAAGCTCTGGTAGAAGACTGAAGGGAAGGAGAAGATTAAACTTAAGATACTTCTGCTCTGGCTTCTTCCCTTCAGGATCTCCTTGGGTTAGATGTCTTCCTCACTGAAAGGTCATCATGATTCTCAAGGTGACCCTCTCTTCATGATTCTCTTCTCTTGGGACAGAGAAGCCGTCCTCACAGGAGCCCCTGAAGGCTTGACAAAAGTTATGCACCTCAGAATATCTTCAAACTTCTCTTTTCTTGTCTCTTCCACATATAACCATTACACAAACCCTGCTGTGTAAAGGGTTAACACAGCAAATTTGGGGTATTCAACCCATGTCCTTTCTAAAGAAAGAACTGGTTCTTGACTAACTCCTGGGAGGTAACCTCTATGCCCTTGGGATATTCTGCCTGATACCAGATAGTTTATGCTAATAATGCGATTTATGGCAGGGGCATTGGGCCATGTGGCATTAGTTTGACTCTGGAAAGACTGGACACTGAGTAACTACGGTCAGCTTCACAGGCACTCCATGTCTGGCTAACTAACCTCCAAGAAAAACCCTGGCGCCGAGGCTCATGAACTTTCCTGGTTGACAGTACTCCACAGATGTTGTCACACGTCACTGCTGGGAGAATCGAGCCCTTCCCAGGACAACGCTACTGGGAGGGACAACTGGGAGCTCATACCTATTCTCTCTCCTGGACCCCACGTTGTGTACCTTTGACCTTTGCTGATTTTAATCTGTATCTTTTCACTGTAATAAACTGTAACCCTGAGTTTTTCTGAGTCCTTTGAATCCTTTTAGTAAATCACTGAGGCTGAGTGTGGTCTTGGGGACTCTGATTCACTGGGAAACTACAGTCCAATCATAACTTACTGCCATGATGGGTGGCCACACAGGTGAAAAACAGAAATATGCTCATCCTCAAGTGGATTTTCCAGGATGGGAAAACTGGGGCCAAGGGCAGGGGTGGCTGGTGGTCTAAAGATAGTTCTAAGTATCTCAAGGGGCTTCTGGACTATGAGTCTGTGAGTAAGGTGACATGGGACAGGCAGATAGAAATACATTCAGGACCCAACCTTTGGTGCTCCAACTAGAGGGGAGATGCTGGGTTGAGAGGAAGAGGGTCTAACTCAATGTGACATTTCTTTTTTTTTTTTACCATTATATTTCCAAATATTTACTTTTTAAATTTTTTTTAAAAAATTATTTTAATTCAATCAATTAACATATAATGTATTATTGTTTTCAGGGGTACAGGTTCAATATGACATTTCTCATACTCTTGTGTCATGTGCCACTTCTTTTATTTCTAACCCAAACGTCCGGAAAAAAGAAAATACTCTGAGTCTGAGTCCTCTAAGAGAGAATGAAACAAAAAAAGAAAAATACAAATACCACAATCCTTCAACTTAGTGTATTTTCCCTTTATAGGATAAATTGCCATTGGCTTCCTACCAGAGTAGGTCTCGCAACCCTCTGTAGCTACAGATTGGAGCAGCAGACATTAAGTGAGCCACGGGGGTCCCCCATGCAGCCCCTGTGCCAACGCCCCCACTCACCTGGCCCCACTGACATCAACTCCGACCATCAGCTGCCCGTTCAGTGAGAGGATCTCATCTCGCAGTCGGACCTTCCCACTCTTCCCTGCCGGGCTGTTCTTCCTCAGCTCTGTCACCCAGATGCAGCCAACATCCAGGACAGGGCCCTGGTGGGTCTTCCTCTTTTTGCCCCCTCTGCGCTTCTCTCCATAGTCCCCGAAAACAGGGATGTTCCCAAAACTGAGGCCCACAGTCTCTGCGTCCCCCAGCTCCCTGGTGAGGTACACAGTGCAGATTTCCATGCCTGGGGGGCTGGGGTCAGGTGGGACCACACTCTCATCCACAGCAAAGTTCAGCTGGATGTATTCCTGCAGCTTCTGGATGGCCGCCTGGCAGAGCCGCTGCTCTGGGCCATCCCCACCCTCCCGCAGGCTGTTCTGCAGCCACTGGTAGAGGAGGGGCAGGTGCAACATGGCATTGTCCTGGGTGATGGGCATGGTGCTCACTCCCAGACACCAACATCATGAGAGGACCTGCTTCTGGGGGCTGGACCCTGGAAGGCCCCATGTCCCTTGGGAACCCTGGCTGTCATCAGCTTTGCCTGTGTTCATGTTCAGGCTGGCAGATGAGCCTAAAGGATGCCTACTTGAGACTGGGCTGTTTGCTTTGGCAAGAGGAGGACAGGACACAATTAGAACCACAGTGGGATAATTGCTGTGCCTGGAGTGCTCACCAAGAGAAGGACGGAAGTGTCTGACAAGTTCTTGCTTGGTTCCTTTCACAGCGGGGCCCATGCAAATGACCCAGAAATGGGGTATGCCTCCAGCAGCCAAAGCATGACCTCACCTGGTCCCATTTATGCCTGGAAGAGGAAAAAACAAAAAATTTGGGTCACAACTGTGAGCCCTCTGATACAGAACACATGGCCTCCTGTAATACAGAAGGACTATGTTTGCTTTTTTGAGCCAGGAAACTCATGCCTCTCCTCATTCCCCAGCTAAGATCCCTCCGCTCTGTATACACAGACATACTGACAGACACAGACACACAGATATACAGATGCACACGTACATACACACCCTTCCCCCAGACAGAAACCTCTGGAACAATGACTTTCCCCAGGAAGTTTTCCTGATCATCAGGGAAATAAGATGACTTTTTTCTAAGACAACTCCCATCAAACTCATATCCAACCAGGAGGCTATGTGAAAGACTCCTTAGAAGACTGTTAGAGGGGTTCTGGACATATGTAAGAGCTTACATTCTTAGGGAGTTAAAATCTATGTCCATTTGTCTTGATCAGCTCAACTGCATACACAGGAAGGCTCTCCATTCCAGGACTGACTGTGATGCCAAGAAGAGGAAGAGCCAATCAACAGCACAGAGAGATTCGGGCTCTGGCTTAGGACAATACCCATCCTAAGCTCAGCCATCATTCCATCTTCATCACGTAGCCTCAGAGGGGATCATGTCCCTATGCACCCTGCAGCTATTAGTCGCTTCTCCTCTTTTCTTTTGGTAAACTGTTGCAATTGATCTACTCTTAGTCCAACCCCAAAGCTATCTCCTCCAGAGAAATGTTTCTCCATGCTTCTGGGTGCAGAGACTTGGCCTCTCCTTGGCTTTCCCTTGACCACACTGCTTAAAGCAGTGATGCATCCCCCTTGCATTGCCAGCTGCAACAGGGGGGTCTCCCCCATGAGAGCTGGCAGCAATCTGGCCCCCGCTGAATCCTGTACAGTGCCTGGCACACAATACATCCCCACAATGAAAGGCTAATTGAATTCCATTGCCAATCCACCAAAGAAAATGTTTACCTCCATCTTTCGTAAACACAGAAAAATGACTCTTTTCATTCTCTTCTCTGAATTTCACTTTCGCCCAGAGAAAGTCAACGTAAACTATGCCATCTAAGATGGAAAACATTCTCTAGCTTTCTCAGGAAGTAGATTTAACAAGGAATAATAATAAATGGGAGAGGTGTCAGAAGGCATGTCAATAATACATGGACTTATTACTCAGTAACCATAAAGAAATTTCCAACATAGCAAGTTTTGAGCTTCCAAAGAACTTGAGTGCCAGCTATTAATTGGTTCCAAATAAATCAAAAGCTTAGCAAATATCATCTACATAATCACATGCCTATTAAAAAAGAAATGCAAGATCAAAGAAAAGATAATCCACAAATGTACAAAAACTGAATGTTCCCCTTGGCCAAAACAAGTAACACCTCTCGCTTGCAAAGTGACTCCACACAGACATATTAAAATCTTATGAATAAATCAAAACATTTTCCATCAGGCCTAGCAATCTTTATGAGTCTCCATTTTCTCATCTGTAAAATGAGAAAGTTAAGCTAAGTGATCTCCAAGGTCTGGAGAGGTCCTCAAATACAGTGACAGTGTCTCATTCATTGGTATACTTCCTATCCCAGCACAGTGTAGACTCTCAATCATTTAAAACAATTTTTTAAATACCCTGTAAATTACAATTTTAATGGTCAATGATTCAGGATATTAGTCACAGTTCAGATGGTTGCATACATATGAAAACAGGGTAAACATCTTGGGCAAGTTGCTCTTTAAATAAATCTGATCGAAGAAAACCCTAGAGAATTTTTCTTCTTGCTGTCAACTTGTATTCATTCAATACATATTTCCCGAACATCAATTAAAAACCAGGCTTTGAAATTGGCACTGAAAATATACCATCAATAAGGCAAATTCCTCGCCCTAAAGGAATTCATAGTCTATTGGGGAGATGCCTAAATAAGGGAAACCAGTGTGTAATAAGTCTATGACAACTCTCTTAACAGAATTGACAAAGGTACATTCCTGGAAGCCATGTTTGTGTAATATAAGCCCCCCAGCCCCTGGTGATGGCTCCAGAGCTGGGGATTTCATACAAGCTGGAACACAGTTCTTCCCTGAGAACTAAGCACTAGGACCAAGAGAGAGGGAGGGTCTAGTCTTGAAGAGAACTATAACTTTTGAACTAGGGGCTCTGGATGGCAATGTTCTACCTGCTGTAAACTGAGTAGCAAAGTAGCAAGGAAAGCCACCCTGCCAAGAAATAAAATAAAATTAATTAGGAGAAGGCAGAGGTGCAAGACTCGGGAGAGAACACTCTGGTTTCCCCACAGTATTCCTGGAAGAGGAAAAAACAAAAAATTTGGGTCTTAGTTTCAGACACCCTCGATAGGGCTGCATTGTTACCCTCCTCTTCAACCCGAATGACTATATCAATCCTTACATTAAATTACATTTAAAAAATTTAACTACTTAGGAAAAAAGAAGAAAGGTAAAGCAAAACTAAACTAAAAAAACCCTTTAAATGAAAATAAACTTTACCTTGAGTTGTTTCCTGTACTTTGCAACTCAAAAGTTGTTAATAGGCTAGAGGTGAGCAAAGCTGGTTGGCTCAACATGGAGCAGGGCCAGGAGATATCATCCTGGGAGCCCACCCTCTGACTGTGAATGCTGTGGGGGCAGGGAAGGAGTTTTCAGAAAAGGAAAAATTATTTCAAGATATTTAGTCTTATTTTGGTATTCATGGACTATATAACTTTTTGAAATCCATGCCTATCATTGGGAATTTTCCAGTAATCCTTCCAGCCCCCTGTTCTATCAAGTCTTTTTCTTGTTTCTATAAACAAGGGGAGTAGAAGCATTCCAATCTACTACAATGATTTGAAATAACTCAGGGCATTAGAAAAGATACACAATTTTGCAATACTATAAAATGAGTGGTTCTTTCACAACATCCAATGAAACATTCCAGTGAACAAAACATTGACCCAGAGAAGATTCAGAAGAACAGAAACCTGCAACTAATTACAAATACAACGTCCCTCAGTGGCTGACCTGTGCAGAGGTCTAAATGCTTCTCATCTTGAAGATCAATTTCAACAGGGAGCAGAATTTGTAGACATGAAGGTCCACTGAATGTTCCAGTTCACTTTTGTCTATCATACATAATTCTCCAATTAGAGTCCCATCTCAAAGCAAACAGCCGTGATAATTTAAATTAATTTTGACTTGCTTGAAGCTGACAGCCTTAGCCATTCAAAATTTAAAATGAATGCTTCTTAACAGATTTTGATACTGTGTTTAGAATCTACCAACTTTCTCAGATCCTCTTTCAGTTATATTATGCATGCACAGCAGGGCAATATCACCCACAAGGGGGTGAAAAGTAGTTCTGGATTGAGGAGGCCAACAAATCTTAGATATTGTAATGGCTAATGCCTGCCTGCAAAGTTCAATCCTATACGACAGAATCTTACCCCTTAGTATCCAATATTTTATGTTAGAATTTAAATTAAATTAAGTTTTTTCTCCAGGGTGAGGAAAGCAGGAAATTAATGCAAAAGCCAGAGAAACACTGAATGAAGTGAAACCAATCATCTGGCCGAAGTCACAGCCCCAGAGTCACCTGAAGTCCACGGGCTAACTCCTGAAACTGGCAGGGGGGTGCACAAAAGGGTCCTTGGGTTTATCCAGACCTTATTCAAAGACAGATTCACACTGGGCTATCTTGTACTAACTCCTCACGATTGTCCTGAATTCTTGATGTCCTCCTATTCTGTACTCTGCTAAGTTCCAAGTTCCTTAGTCTTCTTTTCTGCTGGACTGGATTCCTTTTTTGACTTTTAGAAAATCTCACATTTTAAAAATAAACTAATGTTGATTAAATATTTACTATTCATTCAACAGATGTTCAATTGAGTGCCTGTCACATGCAGGGTCTTAAACAAAACAGACAATGTTCCTACAAAGCCTCATGAAGCCTGTATTGTGATGGTGGCAAATTAGTAAACATAAAACACTATAATGTCAGATGGGGATTGATACTATGAAGAGAATTATGGTAGTGTCAATGCTTAGAGAATGACGGAAATATGAGGGGATTAAGAAAGGCCGTCTGAGAAGAGACCTAAATAAAGTGAGGGGCTGAGGTGAGAGAATCTCTATAGGCGGGCTGTTCCCTGCTGAGGAGACAGCACATGCAAAGACCCTGAGGTGAGAGCCTGCTTGGCTGCCTAGGGATAGGTGTGAGTAATTGTTGTGTTGACAAAAGAGAGAGGGAGGGGGAGATGCCCCCACTGAGCTAGATGCTTCCCCATTGTCTCATTCTCTATAAAACAAGGGCATCTGACCCTGTTTTTACCAACACTGGCTAATGGCTAATGTTTTCAGAGCATAACCACACTCAGACACTATTCTAAATGAGCACTTTCCAAGGACTGATTACCTTATTTAATTGCCACAACAATACTCTAGGGAGATATTATTAGTATCTCCTTTTTAGAAACTCAGATAAATGACAAAATCAGAGAGGCTAAATAAGGACTAGAGAGGCTAATTTTAAGTCTAATCAGGACTAGAACCCAGATCCACTGGATTTGGCCATGTAGGCTAGTACTCTGCCCTGTAATCGCCGCTCCACGGCCACCAATGGGCCTCACGTAATAAATAGGTACCTTGTGTCAGAAGCC